ATGAGATCCAGCTCTAAGGATGTCCATCGAATAATGAACGAAGGCTCAGCTTGTTTTTTACTTGAAACGAGGAAGGAAGTCTCGTGGACTGCGTCAACATGAATATGCTATACAATCCAAGCGGCTGCAGTACAACGCGATTCATCCGTCGTCTTCTGGTGAGATCGACCAACGAATCTCTTCTTCATGCACTTTTATACAAAATCAAAGTCCCCTCAACAAAGCTGGTTTGTATAGTCAGAGTAGATGATGTATATTAAAGGATTTATAACCACCTAACTTGGAAAAATGACCTTAAAATGTGATAAAATGTGAAAAAATAAGCTGAATATATGAAGACCAGGATAATGTGGCTATTTGTATAGTCGCGGTCTCCGTTCGTTGTGTAGATGTTTTTTGTGACCTTGTTTTCGCATCCTGCTCATATTTCAGGATGACCTAGAGGAACACACCTTGTCCAGAGTCCATAGTATGCATGATCATTTCCAGAGTCGGGCCATGGACGTGGTACATTCTCAGACTCCGGACAAGGTACGTTCCTCTAGGTCTTTCTGCCAATATGACTAAGTTGCGAAAGTAAGGTCAGACAACATATAAAAAACAAGTACTTCGTGATATAACATTCAAGAGACTAGACAGCATTCATAGTGTGTAACAATAGCTCACCGATTTTAAGGCCACCGAGACAGTGCATTCGAATACTGGCAAAGCCCCAAGAGCTTGAAATGAATGGAGAAAACATAGGCTGCACTGCATTGGCTCGAGCTGGTGTATTCTTGGAAGGAATGGCGTCTACGCCATCTTTATTTTCATTTGATGGAAAGATGTCGCAGTGAGCCTCGTTAGAGGCTTCGACACAAGGCGACAAACTGTTGAACTGAGCCAAATTCGAATAGAATACGGCAGATGAGGGGAAGAAAGGTGATGTCTTACCAGACGGCAAGAGAGGATGGCAATAGTCTGTGTGGGCTGGCAGACAAAAGCGGAGTCGACAAATCAGACGTCCGTTCATCAGATAAGAAAGTGTGGCTTCGGTATCGGCAACCTGACAAACCATGACCAGGAAGTCAGAGGTGATGAGTGGCCTGGGAGTTTTTATCACTGCAAGCAGGGGATGCGACAAAAAATAAGATGTTGGAGGTAAAAATCATTAAGTAAGCAGGTTTTCCCCAGTAGATCCACTCAGAGAGAGCGCAAATTTTTCACAAGATGCATAGGTAGTAAAATATGTGGCAATAAAAATTGATACCCGGGCGCGTTGATGTGTTCATGTTTATGTCATTTTTTTCCAATTTTATTAGCAATAATATAGTCAAAGCTGATTTCTACTGATTTAAGAAAATGTCAGCAAAGTTGACTGATAGTAAATCTGCTCACAAAGTATTGAAAGGTAGCTTCAATTTTGCCAGAGGATGCCAGCATATCACCATTAATTGATCACTGAGGATCAATCAATCTCGAAAGGCCACAAATTGGCCAAGTTTATATGCTTGAAACTCAAGAAATTAAATGAAAGGCTAACCAACACGGTGAAA